CCCCCCCCCCCCCAAACAGGCGATAAATATGACTGGTCCCCTACCCAAACGATACTCTAGTTTACGTGTTATTTGAGCAAACCAAGGAAAACCCTGAAGTCTTTTATAATTCAAGTTCACTTGTATCATGTATCAATGCCAATTAAAATGTAAAATGTAGTAGATGGAAATAACTTCGTCGTTTCTATCCAGAGAGTCAGCCCCTAAAAGTTGGCATTTGAAGCTTCCGTCATAGTAATTAGGCTCACACTTGTGTTGATCACTACGTGGGTCCTCATCACATGGTGTCCAAAAAAATTATTTGATAACTAGCAATGGAGAGAGCTCCTCGGTATTCAAGACGCAGCGTTCCTTGAAGTCCTTTTAAAGAACCCATCTAATTTGTCATCAATGTTTTTCACCCAGAAGGCTTAAAGCACTTCAGTTTATTTTTGCAGCATGACATTTCCAACGGAAGACAAAATTTCTGAGGAAAAGCTAACAAAAGGTTCAAATCCTCTGAAAGTTCGAATTATTTTCCGTAATTGCATAACTTGTAATCTTCAATGCGAGGATCGGTTTAATATGTCGTGTATGATAATTCGTTTTGTTTATCTCATGTATGCCGTTAAATGTCATCCGTTCCTGCTTCGGTCTGCGATAAAATGAGAATATTTCTTGAAAATTTCTTTTGAAAGCATTTCTTCAGTTCAATCAATGAAATAAGAATTCTAAAAAACTTAAAACAAAAATGTAAAAAAAAAATTCAACTTCTTGAAAACAAAGCGAATAGTCCCAAAGGTAATCTATTGTTTGCGCTATTGTTTTCTTCTAACAAAGGACTGTATGCATAATGAAGTATGGGGCTGTGCGGAAACTTCGCCTGATCTGTTGCTAGAAGAACTTACCACATTTGCAGAAACACTGAAAGCCACAACACGTACATGGGGATTATAGTTAGATTGAGAAAATCATAACAGAAACGGCACAGGTACTCTACTAACAATGCAAACAAAATAGGTGTTTTCAGCTGCTACTTTGTTGTAACCCTTACAGTATGTAAACCGTAAAACGTTTCCTATGTAAATCAAAGCAAAATTTGCCAGCCAGAACGTTTATAACCAGGGAGGGGTAACTAAGGATAAGGATGTGAGGGTCTCAGTAGGGTAATTAATGGCTTTTACAGCTAACAGTTTTAAACTATTCATGGGAAATTACGCGCGTCTGATTGGCTGAAAAGAATGTAGTTTTCATGAAACACGAGTGCCAAGTTTTAACACGGGTGCAAATTACAAATAGCGCGCTGCCAAAATTTCGTCCGTCTTCACCTTCCAAGATGCGTTTGTCATGTAAATTATTAACAAGTAACGACGGGATTTCTCGTGCAATTTGGTGTAAATAAGCACCGGTAAATTTTTCAAAGACTTCAAATTGCACTCGCCCTATGGGCTCAAGTAATTTTTGTGTCTTTAAAAAATTTACTTGCGCTTATTACAGCGCTCTAAAAAATTGCACTCGAAATAATGTTGTTACCTACACAAATTATGGCTATTTTACGGCTGACGGTTAAAATATTTCCGTTACGGTAAAGAGAAATGCAGAGAATTTATTTCAGTCGTCTACGACAAATCGTTTACCTTTTAGGTCAATCCCGGAATCAAAAAAGAAGTTCATAGCAAAGTAATTGTGGTACAAGGTACACTATAAGAATTATATGGGAATCTAGAGCATACTACTTCACTAAAAGTGTTATTATGTGTAGAGAAATGCAATAAATAAGAAACAATCCAGCATTTTAATACTTCCAAAATGACACATCGTAGATTGTAAAAAGTTTGGTAAACTTTGTGAAGACTAACGGTTAAAATCTGTCATTTTTTATGGCTCACGGATAAGTTTTTGGCTGCTTCACGATCCTTTACGGCCAAACGCGAACGGTTAACCCCGTATGCCAGAATCCATTCAGATTGTGATGTTTATTCATGGTTGGCTGGTAGACGTAAACATAATTAAAATTAAAATTAAACCCTACTTATGATACAGCTGTTGAAGTCTGTGTCCAGGGTGCCAACGAGGATACCAGCGAAAATGTGCGCGGAGCGTTACACTTTGAGCGTTACCACCTGATTGCGTGACTTCCCAACCAGATGATTCGTCGTGAAGCGGTCGTGGCTTGTCGGAGATGTTTTGTCACATCACAGACAGTAATCAAATATGGCGGTTGTCGTCAGTCAAACTTGATTCTTTTCGGCACTTGTTTATGCACTTCGTTTCTTCCAGGTAAAAAAGAAACAAAAAAAAATATGGCTTCAATTTTTCGGGCTTCTCTCCGCCCGTTTTTTCGAGCTGTTGATCAAACATTCTTTCCAAGAAGCTGTCCCGTGCGTTGGAAATCTGCATCGTCACAAGCTCAGGTGAAGTTAATAATTTTAAGAAAACGGATCACGAATCGAATGTGTAGTTATATTATTATAGTTATTATTACTTCTTATTCCTGGCTTGTCTTCAGAATTTTTTGCAAGGTGAAGGTCACTGTTTCGACTCCTTACAAGAGCTACGACGTCATGTATTTCCAAAATATGACTACTCCTAAAAGGATCGATTAAGGAAGACATGTACGTGCAATGTCACGAGCCTTTTGTCTGATCGAGCTATAGTAACTTTCTTGGGTTAGATCTTTATCCATTTCGGGGTGCACGATGTCATCATTTAAGAAGTTCCTTTAAGGGGATCTTGGATTTCCTTTCTTCTCTCGTGTTTATTCCGTAAACCAAGCGTGTGAACTGTTTCTTGTTTTTGTTTGGTTCAAATGAGTTTTTTTTTTCATTGTTATACAGTGTTACATCCTATTGGGACGATCTAATTTTTGTCCGCAAACCTCTCCTTCCCTGTCTAGTATATGTTATGATTCAAAACCATTAGTTTTTAGGTACCATTTTGAGAAGTTAAAGCTGATCAGAAAGGATTAATCTCCTTAGACACGTGTGGGAAAAAAGTCGGAAGGGTCAAAATTTTGAAAGCTTGTTTATAACCAAACAATTTGAACTCTCCTTCTCCAAAATCATAAAGCATAGCGAAACAGGGGAAAACCATATTTAAACAAAGCCAATACATTTTCAACCCAAGCATGATATTAAACCAAACTGAATTTTGTAAACATCCAATCTTTTCTAATGTTAGAGAATAATATTTAACTCACAGGTTAGTTATGCAGGCATCAACGATGACATAAGAGGAGCCTTTGAGCAAATAGTAGGTGGAAAAAATGTTTCATCTGCAATGGTTGTAAGGGAACAACATGGGAAAGATGAATCACACCACAAATGTCATCCTGCGGATCTTGTTGTGTGGCCAACTAACAGAGAACAAGTCATCCAAGTGGCCAAGCTCTGTAATGATTATTGTATTCCATTGATTCCTTTTGGATCTGGAACAGGCCTGGAGGGAGGTGTTGTTGCAAAAAAGGTGCCAAATGTCTGTAACATTTTTTTGTTAGCAATTATTGTGTGTACTTAGCCCTTTAAACCCTAAGAGTGACCAGCATCTCATTTCTCCTT